AACAAGCTCGGATATCGCCAGAGTCATTAATAACTCTAATCATATTACACCTTATTTACACCTTATTTATGACTCTGGCGATATCCGAGCTTGCTAATGACTCTAGCGATGTCCGAGCTTGCAATAACTCTAATCATATTAACAAGCTCGGATATCGCCAGAGTTATTAACAAGCTCGGATATTGCCAGAGTCATAAATAAGGTGTAATATGATTAGAGTTATTAGTAAATTGGGATTTATTGTGAGATTCGGTTTGACTTGGGTATCAGTAAATTAGGATTTAGTTACCAGTAAACTAGGATTTAGTTATCAGTAAACTAGGATTTAGTTATCGGTAAATTAGGATTTAGTTACCAGTAAACTATGATTTAGTTATCAGTAAATTAGGATTTAGTTACCAGTAATATAGGATTTAGTTATCAGTAAACTAGGATTTAGTTATCGGTAATCCAGTATTTGGTTATCAGTAAGATAGGATTTAGTTATCAATAAACTAGGATTTAGCTGAACTAATCTTCTTGTAGCACAAAATGAACATTCTTGCTCAAAAAATGAATATGAATAACCTCGAAACTGCAGATCTCAAATCAAGTATCGATCATCTACAAACTTCATTATTCTATAAAACTATAATAAAAATAACCCTGAAAGCTTAACTATTAGAGATTTGGAGTAGAGTCAATTTACTTTGATAGTTTTATTTCTAAAACGTTTAAAAGACATACAGGTTTTGTATAAGGTTAATATAATTATGTATTGTGTTTCGTGAGCTAAGAAATGTGTTTAATATTTACGACAGTTGCTAAATGAGCATATATCAAGAGTATAATGTTTGATGGTACGAAAATAATGATGTGTTTTTAATGGAGCTGAGTACGAATTATGGGCGTGGCTTTTGATTCCCTCAGGAACCGCTATGTTTGGAACTTTGCAATGAGCTGAAGTTTGCAATTATGTGCAAAGGCGATACTAAGCCCATCAGGAATGAACCAGTGCTGCCCTCTAACAACTTGTCGCTTATACAGTTCAGCAGTATTGGAAATATCGATTCCAAAGATGTCGTCTCCTGACAACAATATCCCGGAGTGGTGACTGAACCCCTTGAAGACACTGGTGACAACTATTTATGGACGAATTCAAACAGCAAGGGCTAGCTAAGCTTCTCCAAGTGGCGGCCATACTGATAATACTTCCGATTGTTAGTTGACCCGGTAGTGTAGGATCTCATGAGTTTGTGGAACTTTGGACACTACTACGTGCGTGGCTGATGATATGTAGTGTTCTAATTTTTCTGGACGTTTTTTCTTGTATCGTAAAGGACTTGTAAGCAGACATTTGATTGAACTGTAAATAGTAAAAGTAGGACCTATTATTTCGAGAACCCAGTTAAACTGGCAGTACTGAAGTTTCTAATGTCTTGTTTAGCCTCGCTTAGTTAACGCTCTTCTAAGCCTCTTCTGGACTCGCTAATTTTTTCTTTTGTTAAGGATAATAACAAAATCTTCTCGATTTTTTACTGTTTCACGTTTCTTTCTTCTCTCTGATAATCTAAACATTTCAATATAATGCATATTTTTTCTCCATAATTCAATTGTAGTTTTGTAGAGCCCGATATATAGGTGTTCCTTCTATCTCTGATCTTGTTAAACTGATGTTTTATAGGAATTATTTATTTTGCCGATAGTGGCTCCACCTAACATGGAGTTGGCTTACTTTAGGAAAATCGTTCCATTTGGACTTACCTCAATTTTATCTTAATTAGCAAATATCTGAATTAACGAGAAGTGGTTGGTGATTCTTAAGCTAAAACCATCTTCAATTTGTAACTCTGAATCGTTTTTCGAGATAAAAAACTGTTTGCACGAATCGAACAAACTGTTTCATTCAATGAGATGTAAACACATCAGCTGGTTGAGTGAATTGCTTGTCATTTCTTATGGATGTTTACAACTAGAGAGCCAGTTGAACTGTTGTTTTAACTGTAGGATAACATTCTGTTTCTCGAACATTACCTGTTGTACATTATTATCTTGTAGACGATTGGTTGTTTGTTTATGAGTGTTTTGTTAACTATTTATACAGTCTTTCTTAAGGTTTCTGTAGAATTAAACTGTAATTTTTTTCAAACAGCCAATAAACGTACCGTCTTATATATTATAATGTGATTGTTACATATGTCTCAGCTACGTTACTAGGTGCGCATGCTCGTACTTGTAAAAAAACTTCGAAAACGATTATATTTGCTGGTAGCATTGGATTGTCTCCAGTTTTATCCAAGAGGTCAGTGCAAGATGCACGCGAAATGAGTATTGTGTAGATTTGATGTAAAGGAACGATCTTTTTCTGTCCACAGATTCTTAAATATGTAATAAAGTAAAGTGAGATACAATGAACAACAGTACCGTTAGGTACTCTGTTTTATTTAAACTCTCAATTGTTGATTGAATTTTAAATTCATATCCTAAGTACGTACAACACAGTTCAAAAACGCAGCCTGACGAATTAATATATATATATATTGTGCTTAGGTTTAAAACAAAATTGTTTCTTTATTAATTATCCTTGTATTAATATTTGAAAACTAAAAGTAACATAATTGGTTCAGTTGTACTTAAAGAAACAAAATGCGAACTATTTTCAACTGCGGACTGATCGAGAGATTTGTAACGTGAATGCTGTTAAACCAGTTTTTATAATTCTTTGGTGAGTTGAAGTTGTGTCTCACAATTTCACTCTGAGATTAATCAGTTTTCTTTAGAACCCCACATAAAGTTAAATTTAATCTGTAACAAATATTTCAATAACAACAACAACAAAGTTAATAACTTAATCATGTTCATGAACCAGAAGCTAAAGGACATTAGTTATACATACAACAACTACATATATGATTATAACCATGACGATACTGAAAAATAATTTAAAGTTAATTTTGATAGAAAGATGAGAATCAACCAAGCGATTGGTAACTGCCCTATGGTGGCGTAACCATGACAACACAGAAACAAATATTTTAAAGTCAACGATTGGTAATTAATCTATGCTGGTGTAACCATGACAACACAGGTATTGTATAAACATTATATTTGATGTTTGCACGATTCATGCTTAAGCTAAGTTACTTTCTTTCATTCTTTATTTATTTTTACTTTGATAGCTTGAAACGGCCCAAAGATCGAGATCTATCAGAGATTCAACGGGATAGGTTATATTGCAATATTAATAATTACTCTTTTTAAACTCATTTAACGAACTGTTTCGTTATAAACGTAAGTTATCTGTCATCAGGTAGGAACTATTAATATCCGATACGTACCATAGAAGAACTAACAAGGTACATTATCTGTCATCAGACAGGAATTATTAATACCTGATACGTACTATAGAAGAAAAAACAAGGTAAGTTATCTGTCATCAGGTAGGAACTATTATTATCTGATACGTACTATAGAAGAAAAAACAAGGTAAATTATCTGTTATCAGACAGGAATTATTAATACCTGATACGTACTATAGAAGAAAAAACAAGGTAAGTTATCTGTCAACAGGTAGGAACTATTATTATCTGATACGTAGTATAGAAGAAATAACAAGGTAAGTTATCTGTTATCAGTAGGAATTATTAATACCTGATACGTACTATAGAAGAAAAAACAAGGTACATTATCTGTCAAAAGGTAGGAACTATTATTATCTGATACGTAGTATAGAAGAAAAAATAAGGTAATTGTCTGTCACCAAGTTGCAAGTGTCATATCTTATTCAAGTTATAAAAAGTTAAAATAACACCAACTGGTCATTTGTGGCTAATAATGAAGAGTTTTTCAACGTTCTATTTAGATTGAAAATGAAAATACTCATAGTGGTTAACATAAAATGCACGAACATCTAAAAGGAACTATAGGTCAAATAAGAAGTTTTGGTTAATTTATTTTGTTCTCAGCTGATCATCTGATGTGTAAAAATGGATAAAGAGGTAACGTTTTTCATTAATCTCAATATATTTAACTTATTCTTCTGTCACCATTTTGATGTGCTGCCATCTATCCTTGGTTATCGCAAACTAAATTCCATTTAAAGTCAACTGTCCCACAATAAAGTTTACTTCCTAAATAAATCAGAAAATTTAAAATATTAGTAACTTCGAAAAATATATTTCTATATTCCATATATTTCTAAAATATAAAAGACATATTTTTATATCGAATAAATATGCCGTTGGAGTATTAATTTAAGCAAGTGAAATAAAATTAATCAACGTAACAGCGCTCTTTGGAATTACGCTGTACTCAAGTTCGATTACGTTATGCGATACGTTAAAATAATAATTGCTAGCTAAAACTTTGTCAATTAACTTGGAATAGCTCCTCTTCCTTCCCCCAAAAAAAGGAGAAATAAGTAAAAAAAAAACGACGCCGAGAAGTCCCTCTGAAAAATAGTCATACACATTCCATGACAGTTCTGTCATGTGACTGGGGTAAAAAATTTGTTTCTCGCTATAAACTCTTAGAATATATTTATTTTCTCGCAATACTCTGGAAAGTAAACTCAGTCGTGAAATTCAACAAAACACTAAATTAAGAAATATTTTCATTTAACTATTTACAAAGATATGATAACCATTGCCCCATGAGAAGACGATTAGTATATAGAATTATTCCAAACACAGGATACTCCATAAAGATTTGATTAGTTAAATATGTTTATCTGTCTTTAAAAAATTGTGGACTCAAGGCTAGAAAATCTGATTTTAAGACGAAAATCTCACTGAACCACGAGTGGCTAGTTGTCAAAGTGTCCTCTATAATTATTCACTAATCATCACTGAACCACGAGTGGCTAGTTGTCAAAGTGTCCTCTATAATTATTCACTAATCATCACTGAACTACGAGCGGCTAGTTGTCAAAGTGTCCTCTATAATTATTCACTAATCATCACTGAACTACGAGCGGCTAGTTGTCAAAGTGTCCTCTATAATT